ACACACACACACACACACACACACACACACACACACACACACACACACTCATTTAATCTGTCAGCAACCAACTAGTGACTTGCTGCACCTTGTAAAGAGAATGTTTGACGGGCAAATATGGCTTATGTTTAAAGGCAGCGTGTATTTTTTAAACACTTGCCTACTTTATTTAACAACCCAAAAAGTTTTATTTATTTATTTTTTCCGCCTAAGTTGGCCTCTCTGCAACATTACACAGTGAGGCTACCTTTCCTAGCTAGCATGATTATGTTACGTTTTTAAAACTATATAGCAATGCTACTTTTATTAACCTGCGTGGTTATGCTGCATTTCCAAAACTATATATGCAACTACTTTTTATCACTGTATCGAGCATGGTTGTGTTACACCTCCAACTCAATACCGAGGCTACTTTTTGCTAGCTAGCATGATTAGGCTACACCTTTTAAACTATATAGCGCAGCTACCTTTACTGGCTACCACGGTTATGCTACACCTATATGTAATATGAACTTGAACTCTCCTCAGTGCCTGTTCTTTGCTAGAGCTGATTGACTACAAAGGAACATATAATGAATAAAATTTTATACAATAACTCTGTTATTTTTGTCACATTAAGAGCTAGCTACTTAAAGAAGCATTTCCAAATTCTCTTCATTTCCTTATGACACCATAGCTTTTGACCATTAGCCAAAATTAATAAAATAAAATAAGATCAATGTTATGAGTCAGAATGTCAATGGAAACAGTAAAATAATCACTTCTTCTTATGTAGCCTTTTTTTGAGCACATGACAATACTTGAAAGTCCATTTAGAGCTTTGCAGGCTTATGGATCTCTTGAGTTTTGGTTTTACTTGCAGCTTTATAAAACCACCTCTTCTATCATCGAATTTTAAAACTGGATTTATTTAGTCGAGATGTGGCACAGGAAATCTTTAAAGGATATAATACATGACATGAAGACCTTGGTGATAAGTACCTGCACAACAAATTTGACCCATTCAAGCCTGATCTCCCTTTCTAAGAACCTCATTCGTAATCAGCCTTTTACTTTGCCTGCAAGGTTGGAGCTGCAAATGTTTTGTTATGGCAATATTAGTTAGGTTGCCCATTTCTTTATTTACAGTTTAAAAATGACTTAAGCTTTGTGTGAAGTGTGAAATAGGCTCTGGCAAACACTCAAAATTTCTAATAGCTGCAGCACTTTATAAAAAAAAATATTCTGAAAGACTAAACGGAAAATTTCAGACCCTTTCACTGTGCGCTGTGATACACAGACGCTCGGGCCAAATAGCTGCGAAACATCAATGTGAATCAAACTGCATTAGTTTTCTCAATGAGGGATCAATTTCACGGCTTGTCGAGCAAATTACAGAGAAATATGACAAATATTCCTGTAATAAAACATCTGCTTGATCTCCTTAGCTTGTGCTTTTATTCCCTTTTCCCTGTACTTTGTTGTTATCTAGTCACTTCAGGTTCACAGGACTTTTATCCACTTGCCAGTCTGACCTTCGCACTCCTTTTTCCCGTTTGCTTGTGATGATTTATACATAGTGTTTGAAGGCTGTTTTGTTCTTGCATTCATTTTTCTTGGGGAGTAAGCGAAATGCATAAGTACCAACAAACGTATTAAAGACCAACTATTTAAAGGTACTTTTACTGTTGCTTTATGAGCCTTAGGCCATTTTGACTGTGTGCTTTTTCTTCTATTCCTCAGGACAACTATACATTTGCTCAGCCAGGCATCCAGAAAAAAGTCAAGGCCCTAGAGGAGCTGGTCAGCAGGATTGATGGTGAGTCATCTGCCTGGCTTCCATCCGTCCATTCATTCATTCACCCATCCATAAAGTACTTTCTGTTCACTGCTCTTCTGTTCCGATTTAATTTCTACTTACCTGTTCTTGCTTTTCTGATTGTTTAAGTTCTTTTCCTTTCCATTGCTTCCTATATTACCCACTTTTTTTTACATTTAACATTTTCATGTAAAACACGAAAAATACATAGTGTGTTCCACAATCATTCTATTTTTCTTTGTAATAGTCAGCATATAAAGGACTGATCGAGCGAGCCACAATGACATTTTTGAAGCCTTATCATTAGCATTATAGCCTGGACCTGATCATTTTTCAGAGTGAGGGTAAGATGTTATCTCAGTTAGCAAGTTACAGCCACAGACTGGACATAAACAACTGCTAATTAAAAAAAACAAAACATACATTATGATAATTTAATTCACCAACACCAAAGCACAAACTTATGGGACCATCTGGACCTCACAGTAAGCCATCTTTATCCTGGTACCAAGCTGTAAACATCCTGTTTTCAAGCTCGAGACCAGTCTTTTAACGTTAGGAACCAGCCTCGAGGGGCCATTGGAGGAACTGCAGTTTCTTGCATTCAAGTGTTGGTTTCATTGTTCAGCTCCAGAAGTTTCTGCTTGGGGAAAATGGAGGGAGAATATGAAGAAAATGTTGTTTATTATGTGTTTTCATCTGTTTTTCTTGTTTGTTTGCTTTTGGAAATGTATTGTTCTTATCTAGAAGCCGTTTCTAGTCCAGCCAGGGAAATCTTAACTTTGTATATTTATGTACATTTTATATATTAAGACTATTGAGTATATTGGCTTCTGCATTCCCCCTCTAATAACATTAACCAAGTCATTAACTTCAAGTACCCTAGTAGGACTTTACTGTATGCATATAAATATCTGCTTGTTGCAGAGAGGAGGTGGAAGTGGGAGTAATTGGACTGATTTGACACTCTGCAAGGCACCGCAAATGTAAAATGAATAAAGAGAGAAAGCAAAAATAACTCAGCATGCCCTTAATGAGCCCACCCCCCAACTTTGACTTAACACTTAAACTCTTTGTTTTTAAAAAAAAAATGTATGTGTTAGAACTGTATATATTACACACCAGCCAGTTACATTTGCTTTCACACCTTAATTCTTCCAGGCTTATCGTCACTTTCTAATGACATGACATGAGAATTGTCTCTCGCTAATTTTCATTCCACTCGGCTGTCTGGAAACGCGTACGTGCTAGTGACTAATAGCACAAACCAGAGGCCTGCTGAGGCCTGGAAGTTAATGTATGCACACCGAGTGTACTCATACGCAGCTCAGTGACATTTCACACATGCTCTCAACTCGGTGTTAATTAGCAAAGCTACTTTTCCCTCTCTGGTCCCGTTGTCTTTTCCATTTTGTCCAAACAGTACACATGTCACCTGGTTTGAAGTAGTTTTCCATCCAAACTTTGTCACTTAAAACTCGTGCGAGGTTTGCAGCAGCCCCACGATGCATTGTGCAAAACAAGGGCTTATCAAAGCAGGCTTTTGTACAATGGTCATGTTCCCGGCTAACCTTGGTGCCGTCCCACCACCCTGTCACCCGCTCTGTCAGCCACAGGGAGGGGAGGACTCATCCTCTGCATCCAAATGGATGGAGGGTGTGTGTTTGTGAGCGCGTGTTTGTGTGTGCGCAGGAATGTGAATGTCAGAAAAAGTTAGCGAGCAAATGCAGGCCTGTCTGTTTGCATGTGTGATTGTGACAGAAGAGGTCCGTTGAAGAGCATGCACGTACGACGGTTGGTGTGTGTTTAAAAAAAAATAAATTGTGCGTACACTTGTGTTTGTGTTTGAGTGAAATACACAGACACACACACGGGAAGGGAAAAAAGAAGAAGAAAAGTCCTCCACCTCATCCGCAGTCCACTTCACCCCACCCCCACCCCACAACAGCAACGACATAAAAAAAATGACTCGACATCTTTACTGTATCTTTTTCCATAAGTGCCCTGTCATCATAGTGGGGGCAGAGAAATTTTATACCTCGCTAGGTTGACATTACCAGCTCTAATGAGATCACAGATAGCTTTTATCTTGTGTTACGGGATTGTTTTTCGCCCTGCTGTTGACATACCATCTGTTTTGAGAACAATAGCCTCTCATCGTTTCCAAAATGACCTATCAGCGCTTATCAGATGCAGGTTTATCCAGAGTGGTGTGTATTTTGATAGTGGGGTGGGGTCTTGTCTTATCCTAGTCCAGTGGTTCCCAAACTTTTTTTGCTAGGCCCCCCTTTGTTTTACAAGAAAAATGTTCCCATGTGCAAAAAGGGCTTTTTCTGTCCCTGCCTTTCAGAATAAAAGCCTCAGATTGCTACATAGTTTGTTTGCTGTCCTCCAGAAGAGGGAAAAGGAACTTAGTTAATACGCAACTGAAGAACATCTTACACAAATATGGTGAAGTAATTCATGAATAAATATTAATATAAATATTTTAGAATATTTCTGCAATTAGAAAAAAGTTAGAAACACAAAGCAGAGTTCTCTAAAACAAAAGAAACAAACCTTCATAGTTCATTAGAAGAAGACAAGCCTACATTTGTATGCAGCACTGTTATCGACTTAATCAGCCAGACTTCCTTTTTTAATCTTTTGCACAAAGAGGAGCACAGCTATCCATCCATCCTTTTTCTCTCACTTATCCTTATGTTAATTAAAATGAAATATTTGTATTAATGTCAGGTAAGAATAACTTTAAAGCAACACCTCTAAGAAAAAGATTCATTTTAGTGATGGAGATGATTGAAAGTTTTAGCGGATATGGATCTTGCAACTATAATTTTCACTGTTAATGCTATTGTGAACTAATATCTTAGTGGGTCCAATGGAGAAAAACACTTATAAAGGGGTCGAAATTAAGCCTGGTCTAATGGAGGTTAGATATTGTTCATAACTATATTTCAGACATATTTGAAGAACAATTTCAGTTAATAATTCACATTTTTACCACTCAAAGTATTTGAAAAACCATGTACTGACATTTAGAGGAATTTGCTGTATGTGGCTAACTCTAGTAGCTGCTACCATTAGCTAGTTCCTCACCAGGAGCCTATGCTAAATGCAGCTGCACTGCTCCCTTTGCGTGGGGTTATGCCAGTTTGCTCTCACATAACTGTCTGCCATTCTTTCTTATTGTGTTTCTTGCTAATTTTAAAACGAATTGCTTTGGCTTCAGAAACATCTGAGATCAAACCGTTAACCAGTGAGGGCAAGAATAATTAGTTACAGAGTTACAGAGAGTGCAGTGTTTCATGACTTTCATAAGACAAACTGAGTAAACGGTAAGTCATAATAAAATTACCTTCTCTTCTAAGCAGAAGAAGGAGGTGAAGTGACCAAAAAAAGTGAAATGGCAGTCGCTAAAGGAGAGGCAAGAATACTGTGATCAAACGACGTGTGTGTGTGCGTGTGCGTGTGCGTGTGCGTGTGGATACTCTATTCCTGTGAGGTTTGTGTTTAATTACAGTGACACAAATTTAATCCCAGAGAGGAACAAATGGTTCTGGATTTGTGCCAGGAAGCCCCGGCCTGTCCTCAACATTTGGTCGATTTAGCGACGCTAATCTTTGGTGTTCACCCAAAGAAATCCCCAAAAATGCTATTTCAACATCGTGACTGCATTCAGTATATTACAGACCTGGACAGACATGGATATTAAAACCACTCAAATAATCTTTTTTGTTCTCCATGCACTTTATTTCTCAGTACAGTATAAGCTCATATTGAACTTGAAGTAGGGAGACCAAAAACAAACTGCAAGCACTTGTTAAAAATGAAAGATGTTTATTACTTTGCTTCTTTACTTGGATTCGTGGAGTTGAAAGAGCTGTTGACATCGTTTCTAATCTTTTACTTCGAGACGCCTTCATTTCTGCCTCTGCCTCTGCCTGCCCGTCCCTCGGTCGCTCCTCCTCTGTAATTATCCTACTTTTAATAAGTGACGCTAACTCCCATTAGCCTTGCTTAACGCTAGCACATGTTCCTCCTCAAAAGAACAGCCAGTCTGTCAGCATGTAATGTTTTTCTGATCTCTTTATCGCTCCCTTATCTCTGTCTGTGTATTTGTTACATGCAAGTGCATTAGCGCGAGTTCATCAACATGCAAATTGCTAAAAGGTGAATTTATTTATGCAAATGAGGGGATGTACTTGCAGCATGCGTGCCTGACTTTAGTAGAAAGGCTGGTAGCTGCACTGTGAGACTGTATTGCATAATGAGAAGCGAGGAAAGCTGTTCTCATATGTTTGGGGGAAAAAAATCCTTAGCTAATTTGGCTTTCTTGTGCGGTAGTTTTGTTTTAGTATTTTATGTTCCCAAGATTTAAGTGTTTTTTTTTTAAACTGCAGCAGTATGTTTGGCTTCCTTTTGTTTCCCCCCTCGTCAACCAAAGGCCCCCACCTCCCGTTTATTTTTTTTTACGCCTTATGTTCAGGCCAACTGTGATGCCATTTAACCTGATTTTTTTTCTTTTTGTTTGCTTGTTTGTTTCATATCTTCCCACACAGTCCTCCACAACCCCCAGATACTATCATTTGCAAGTTTCCTAACATTTTCTTTTTCAAACAATTCACAGATTTCTTCACCACAGTCGTTTCAGACCCTTCTTATCCAAAGCCTTACCGCCACGGTGCAAATCTGCTATCACATTGGTCACTTGTGTTTTCAACTTTTGAGGGCACAAGGTGGAATTTTTGCATATTACGTGGCCTTTCTTTTATGTGAAATAAAAGGGAAAATAAAAGTCTGCTCTCGCTGTGCTTTGTGCTGATTAAACTTTTTCATTTTATAGAGCTGCGTCGTGCAGGAGAGCGTCAGAGTGTCTGTGTAACAGTTAAACAAATAAAGTGGGATTTGGGGAAGCTAGAGACACACACAACAGTCAAGATGTGTACACACAGCATGTCCATCTAATTAGTTTACTCCCTGCAGAAGGAACCAAGCCTGTGTCTGAAGTAAATAAATCTTAACTCCTTTATACTTAGATACAACTTCACTGCATGCCATTTTAAGATGAGATAAGATATGAGATACTTCAAACCATATTTGGGCAACTACTTTACATTTTTTAATTCTGTTACAGCAGTTAAAGTAATATTTAAAAAAAAAATTCATCTGTCCTTCTGGCAGCAGAGCTGAATCAGTCTGCTAGAGAAAGTGGGCCAGAGGGTGGTCAGGATTATCCGTGATGGATAACAGTCATTTCAGTGACCTCCTCTCCACCACAGCTTTAAAAGTGCACAGTTGGCAGCCAATCGCAGAGCAGCCTTCCTAATCATTTTATCAGTCTGCCAGTGTCACCTGCTCCAATGCTGCTCCCCACAGCAGACCCAGTCCGCGGCATTTGCCTAACTGTTGTTTTTTTTTTCCCAGCTTTGTAGTTTACATCTGTTTGAGCGAATTATGCCACCCGAGCAGAGTTTACTAGTGAAAAGCCCATCACTCTTAATTTGAAAGTTCAGTTGATGCCTTTCAGTCCTCTTTGTGTTTTCCTCACTATCTGGGCAGGTTGCTATTCTAGCAGTTCCTCATATGATTCAGTTATCTCTCTCTCTTTCTATTCTCTCTTTCCTGGGT